GTGATGGGGGCGGCATAGAAATGTTTTAAATAAATAAATAAATAAATAAACTTCGATAACAAATTTCAGAAAAGTGTGGCTACTGAGATTTGCTTTCATTCCATTTGATGTATGTATGTATTTATTTATTTATTATTTATTAAAACATTTCTATGCCGCCCCTTGCCGAGGTCTCGGGGCGGCTTACAACATGTATGGATTTGGGTAGTTCAAAACAGGGTGATGCAAACTGGAAAAGAAAAAACCTCCACCCCAAAACATTCGCATGGATGAAATCTCTTTGTAAAATTCTGTTAGTCATTGGTTGTTCACCTGTGAAGGAACCCCCAAATCTGAATTCCAGTTCAGTGAAGTGAAAGGAGGTGCTTTCTGGCTTGTTATTAGACTAGGAGGCCTAAAACCTATGGTGAGGACGGAGAAGGTTCGACAGTGAGCTGGGGTGCACCACGGCAGACAGCCGGTTGACTGGTTGCAGTCTTCCCCCACTATGGGTAGATTTTCAGGATTTAAATTCATTATTTTGACATACGCATCCACACCTATGCATTGGATACACGAATGTTATGCAAATCTGGCCCTGTTTAGTCCTCTTTTTGGGGTAACGGTAAGGAAGGCTCGCTGCTCTCTGCTAGCCAGACGGGGGATTTCTAAACCGAGGGAACCCCCATGTGGGAAGCAGCTTTTTCCCTTTAAATCGCAAGCCTCCCACACCCCACCCCTGGGGTTTCCCGCAGGTTTTGGCACTTCCCACCGTGCTTTCCACTTGCGGTAAATTGCAAAATGGAGGGGAAGCCGGGCTTCCTAGCCACATTGATCCATATCAAGACAGCTCTAAATGTTTTGTCTCCACCAGGAGCAAATCTGAGTCCTAAGCGTCCATTTAAGTCACGGCAAAACACTGTGTGTAAAACTGGAACCCTTATATCACTTTTCTCCGTATGGCAGCTGAGCTCAGAGGGAATAGAGAATTTCAGGGGTGCTGGTGAACGTTCTTGTCAGCACCCCTGCCAACAAAGCAGTCCTGGCGGTGCTCCACTCGGTCATCAGTGAAGATGCATCCGAAGATTAGAGGCAGTGTGGCGTAGTGGTTAAGAGCTGGGACTGGGACTCAGACGATCGGGGTTCTAGTCCCCGCTCAGCCATGGAGCCAGCTGGGTGACTCTGTGCCAGTCACAGACTCTCAGCCCAACCTACCTCACAGGGTTGTTGTTGTGGGGATAAGATGATGGAGGAGATGTAAGCTGCCTTGAGCCCTTTGTAGGAAAAAGGCAGGATATAAATCGAAATAATAAATAAATAAATAAAATTAGATTTGCCCTGCCTATAGTGGTGCCACCCCTTGTACAGCCTCACAACTTGACCTCCTCTTTTGCTTTGTGTAAGATGAGGACTCCTGAGGAAAGCTCAGTGTGCTTCGATCCACATTTTCCCAATGGGATTTTGCACATGCCCATCCGTGTCTGCATAGGGGAACAGCGGGGGGACTCAGATCCATTAAAATCCACGAGATTTTGTCACTCACTTCAAGGGCGGCTGCTCCTTCTATCGGTCACCCTCTGAAAAGGGCTACTGGGGTAACCGCAGGCGTCGTGCCTCTGACGTGCCCCAGGTACGGCGGATGCACACCGCTGCCACGGTGTTTTGTTTTAGCAGAAAGTGCTAGTCTGTTAACATTTGACATCTAATGGAGTGAAAAATCCTTCCCATCACCTAAATGGATGTTGATTTTTCCTCCTTCCCTTTCTTCCTTTTTTTTTTTAAATAGTCTCTCTTTAGACTATTTTTGACCTGTAATTGCCAACATCTGTTCAGGATAATCATCCAAATGAACTGCCATGCACTAGGGTGTTTTTTCCTATGTTCTCTACCTTGCCATACAGGTCAAAAATGTTAAAAACTAAGGCTGAATGAGGCCTGTCCATAGATACACCAAGGGCATATTTGTTTTTCCCCTCTGATTATATATATATATGAATGAGAGAGAGAGAGAGAGAGAGAGAGAGAGCGCGCGTGCGAGAGAGAGAGCTCTCCACTGCCAATTTGGCGTTTCATTCCATTTATGCTATAATAAGGAAGTGGGAGGTGGAAACAAAGGTCATGATCCACAGGGGTGTTCTTCATAAGCCCCACTAAAATGAAGAAAATCTGTATAAGAACACAGAACTTCCATGATATTCATATTAATGGGACTCATGTAGAATAACCCTCCCGGTGGATTGGACCTACATTCCATGGAAAAATTCCATGTTGCATTGGATCAAGACTAAGATCAAGATCGAATGAGAACAATGAGGAAGTGTGAAACGAAGCCATCAAATTTCTTGGGTGGGGGGTTTTTCTCCCCAGTTGTAAATACCATCCAATTTTAGCTAAATTTGCAGATTAATTTTTAAAAAACCATTGCAGATTTGTTTTTAATCTTCTGTTTGTTTCATCACTTGTTTGTTTCATATGTTCCAGTTAACCCAAGCAGTTCTCATGGGAAAGACTTTTAAAAATCCAGATCCAGTCTTTTTTTTTGCAAACAACAAAGTTTGAATTGCCAGACTGATTCCAAATTGAGCACGGCCATTAGAGAACTTTGTGCATATATAGAAGGCAGGGACATTCAAGGCTCCAAGAGGTTCGTGATGCTACTCCAAAATCATCCTGGGGGAGGGAAGAACATATGAAAAGGTATTCTATTGACAGGTCCCCATTCCCGATACGCCTTCATTCCCAAGTCAATTTACAATATTGCTATAGGTAATGATGTACAAATTCAGCAAGCGCAGCCAAAGTATTTGACTTGATATTGGTTTTTTTTTACCTGAGATGACTGAGATTGTTTTCAGTGCCCGGAGAACTCTGAATGTTCGTAAGGCTGATACATTGCCCAGGTCCACAAATTCAGTTATGTATCTGCAAACAAGGAAAAGTCACAGATAACAAAAAGACCATGACAAGGAAGTCAGCAAAGGAAGAACAGCAGGAGAGAGAACAAGAGAAAGGGGTTGGGGGGCGGGAGCCACTGGCAGCTGAGAACAGATATGCAAAGATTAGGGCTTCTTACCTTGAATATGCAAAATGGTTTTTTTAAGCTCTCAATACCCTGACATTCTAGTGCAGAAATTTGAACCTAGTTTTGTAAATTCTCCTGCAACCCATTGAATTAAATTGTAACTATTTGGAAATACATTGCCAGATGTTGTATGACCATTACATTGGCAGGTTCACTTAGGGAAGAGAGTTCAAGGCCTCCTACTTTCAGAAATGTTCCACACTGATTTCATTGCACCTCTGCTGTCCAAAGCTCTCTGCAGTGTAAAGGTTTCTAGGTCTTGTCCTTGGACACATGGTTAGTTCAAGCACAAACCAGGAACTTCCTTGATGGAGTCGACAATCACCAATAGACCCAGCAACCTCCAAACCGTACACATCACTCTTATCCACCCTGAGCATCTCAGAATATTTTTGATGTCATTTCCATCATTCCGAGCCAATGTGGCCAATGCTGGGAGTTGCCGTTGTGAAAGGAGAATTGTGAAAAACCAGCAACGCAAGAGATCCATCCAAGCAATGTCAAACCAAGAATCTTGCAGCGCTTGTGCAAGAAATGAAAGGGAATTGGGGAAGGGGGGAATTCCAGCACAAATTATCCTAACTTTCATAGACTTTCCAACATATCTATCTCCATTTGCTATTTCCCCCAGCATTCTTAATTATGTGTACAGGTTGACGGAGCTATTTCTAGAGCAGAAACAAGGGGTTCATGGAATCGTTGAATCACAGAACAGTAGAGTTGGAAGGGGCCAATTAGGCTATCAGGTCCAAGCCCCTGCTCAGTGCAGGACTCCAGGTTAAGGGGAGAACTAGGTCTCCAAAATGCCTGGGATTAAAGAAGGTCTTTTCCTGGTACCAAAAAGATAACAATGTGTGTGCCAGAAAGCCTCTTTGGTGAGGGCATTCTTTAAGCAGGGTGACAACTGAGAAGACCTGGCTCTTGAAGCTATTTTCTGCATGAATTAAAATATCCATTTCTATTAGAGACAAAAAGCCAGGAAGGCTAAACAATTAACTTATCGACAGTAATAGACCTTGCATTTGTTAAGTTATTGAATTTGCTAAGTTATTTACAATACAGGCTTCTAACATTTACAACGGATCAGAAAGGCTTTAAAGATGAAAACATCTTAAATTCAGCATTTCATAGCTAAAATGCTGCTGAGTTTTGAGGGGAAAAAGCAGCTCTAACATTAGCCTCTGGGGATGAAACCTTCCCAGCAGATGTTTTGGTGGAGAAGGGAAAGGAGAAAGCTTAAAGCTCTGTCTAGAGGCAAAGCACACCTGCAGGGCCTTCTTCTACAGGTACCCTGCCTAGGGAGAAGGTAGACCCAACCAACCTCTCCATCTCTGGGAAAAGATCAGCCACCAAAAGGGCAAGACAATAATACCATGTGCTTTGCCTAACCATCAGTCAGATTGCCGTAGCTGCCCAAAAGCTTCCCTACTGCTGGTATACATGATCTATCTAGCTGAGCAACTGTCTTTCCAAAGATGCTTATCATTACAGCATGTTAAGCTGGAGGGGGAGAAAGAATCATAGAATAGTAGAGCTCAAAGGGGCCATAAAGGCCATCAGGTCCAGCCCCCTGCTGTTGGAGGATACCAATTGCCTCTTTAAAAATCTGTTCCACCTTCCCCCACTAAATATGAAAGCTGACAAAGAACTAAAAGCCCAAACGAAGTAACAGAATATCAAAGCTGGGAGGATTCTCTCATCTCCCTGCAAATGGCCCCCATGCTTGTCTTGATTTACATGGAAATATTAAGCCTTGCAAAAGAACCTCAGAGGCAGTTCCTCCTGCCTTTTTGACTACACTGTTTAGAATTCCTCCCGTACCTTTACATTTTCTGACTCAGCACACTTTTCATACCACTGATGAGGTGGCTCTAGCCCATGAAAGCAGTTAATGGCACAAGAAATCAGTTTGTCTTTAAGGTGCAGCAAGAATCTATTATTCCCCCTGCCCTTAAGTTAAACAGTCGGAGATATTGTAATCTTCCTCACAGAGGAGTTGCTCCACTCCCTTGAGCAGTTAGTTACCCTTTTAGCTACAATATCCTTCTCGGGTGTGGTGATCGGAGCGGTACACAATATTCCAGGTGGGGGCACAGCACAGAAAATGGCTGGCAGCCCTGATGCCTGCGTGCCACGCCCTGTATGCCTTTATATGCTAACTGCTGGGGAACATGGGCAGGACGGTGGCGTGGCACGCACGCTCTGCTCGAGGGCTTCCCACAGGCAGCTGGCTGGACTCTGTAGTAAGCAGAATGCTGCATTTTGCTCTGATTCAGCACTGCCCTTCCTATATTAGCTATTTCACATTCGGCTGGCACTGAAGCCAAACCCCCAGTGTTCTGCAGCGAGCAGCTTTTCAGGTTAAGGTGGTCATTGGCTTGCAAAGAGAGTATTGATTGATGAAGAGCCTGATGGTTCTTTTCCAGCACACTGGGATGGTACAAGAGCCACACGTGCTCTCAGTTCGCCACGTTCCCTCACGGAATATGCCAGGCTCACCGAGTTCTCGGCCCTGGTACGAGCGAGAATCAGGAGACACCGAGCGAGGCACGTAGAACAAACCGATGGGCTTCAGGCAGGCACTCTGCGCTCCCCGCTGGGAAACCAAAGGGCCGTTCTCCCCGGGAGACAGGACAGGACGGTTCGCTGTCTCGCAGCAGACTCACAAGAGACTGCGAGGAAAGCTCCGACCCGCAAAATGTTTTTGGGTCAGGCTGGAAGTGGACAGAAGAGAAGGTGTGCGGCTAATGCCGAAAGCAGCATTTTATGCGCCTCCTTCTGGGGACGTCCAGTGATGGAAAATGCATCCCGGGCACAGTCGGAGGGTTGGTAGAGGCTAGCTGGAGGGAAAGGCGGTGTCCCCATAGATTTCTGAGGTCACACGAGAGGGCCCCACCTCTGCCACTGTTCTTTCTGCACTGGCTGTGGCCCCAAAGATGGAAGACCACCCCTGGGGCAGGTGCTTGGGGCAGCTCTGGGGTGCGGGGAGGGCGAGGCAGAGCTGGGTCCCACCAAATCTGGGCAGGGCCTCAGCGCCTCCTCCTCACAAGGAAAGGGGAACTGTTTAGGCCACCTAAGTGTTGTGGAGGAAGAGGGGAGTGCCATGGCAACCCTGTCCTCCCATGCTCCTTTGGGCGCTCCTAACCTTCCAAGTTCAGAAGGCTTTGGGAAGCCACATGGGATGGGCCCCAAAGATGCAATTGCATGCATGCCCGGGCTGGAAAAAGCACTACAATGCCCATCCTCCCTGCCCAGGCACCTACCTCAGAGGGCAGGGGATGATGGGGGTTGTACTACAATGGATGGTAGGGCACCAGGCTCAGGAGGCTGCTCTGTGTGTTGGAGAGAAGTCTGCAGCCCTGGCTTCTAGGGCTTGAAATCGTGTGGGGAGAAGCGCAGGTGTGGGCCAGACTCCCCACACGGAAGGGAGGCCTGCAGTGCCTGGACTGGAGTGATGGGAAGGGCATGGAGGGACAGGACCAATGATTACAGGCCTCTTCTCACAATTTTAGTTAGCCACATGGGGGATGAATACCTTAACCGGGCATTGCATCCCTTACCATGTACGAGTAAGTTCCCCTGAATGAAAAGTCCCAGAAACCTTGGGAGGATGCAGTTCCATCTGTTCCTGCGTTTTCAGGGGTTGCTACACACTGAAATGATTACTCATGTCCACTTCCTGTCATAATCAATTTTGACGTGGCAGCAGCTGGGCAGGGAAAAGAATCCACTGTCCTCCCAGTTAGTAGCTGGTTTCATGCTCTGAAAATGCATCTTAGTTTAAGGTGAACCTCCCTGACCCAAGTTCTGGCTCCTGCATGAAGGTCTTCATGGATGCCTTGTAGATGCCAATCAAATCCTACAGCAGTTCGTGATGGCCACTACTTAAGGACAAAATGTGTCCCATTTTAATACAATTGCTTTATGAATATTATCTTGTAATTGTTGTTTTATCTGGGAAAAAGGGAAAAATATTAATTGCTGCTGCATTTCTAGAAGTGTTACAAGGTGAATTATTATTTACTTGATACTCATGTTAAAGCTTTTTTTAATAGCCTAGTATTATTAAGTCAAAATTGTAGTTTTGAAATTGCTTTAAATTGCAAAGTTGCTTTGCGCTCTGAATTTGCAGCGGCTCTCAATGTTTCCAGCCATGAGAACCATTTCCAGACAGAAATGCAGAAACTGCAGCTTTCCATGGTCTGGCACAGACATCCTTCCACCGTGACTGCAGCAAGAGAAGAAACCCAACGCGAGCAAAGCGCATTAGGCTTTACTGGCGTTTAACCATATGCTTGAAAGACCTGCCTAAGCACAGCCTAACATTTGGAGGCCACAACTCTTCCGGTGGCCTGATTAACACAGTAGGTTCCCACGGTAGCGGTAGTGAAGCCAATGTGATCTTGGCATTTTATTCAGCAAACATGACTGTCTGAGGAAGTACCATTAAATGACACATCCATTAAATGAGGTGGTCCATGAGAGCCTTCTCCAACCGGGTGCCCCTCAGATAGATTGGGCTATAAATCCCAGCATGCTGCGGCTTGGAGGCTACCATATCTAGGGGGCACCCACTTTGGGAAGGCTGAGACATGCGGATCAAAAGGCCCATCCTTCAGATCACCTGGGATGGTAGCATCCCATGTGGCTTGCAGTCAACCACGAAAGGGGCAGCCCATGTCGAGGGCCTTTCTCGCTCTGGAACGTCGAGTTTGACTTGGCCCATGTCCCAACAGTGTCATAATCACACCGAAAGGGGCCATTTAGGCTGAGCCCAGCCCACTGCTCAGCGCAGGAATTCCACAGAAGCCTCCCTGGCAGAGCTTAGGCAGAGTCCAGC